CACATCACAAGATAAACATCTCTGAACACATACTGCATAAGGAGCATGAACGCATGAGCTATCCGCCAAAAGTAGATAAAAACATAAACCTCTGATAAAGCTAACAGACTGAGACTAGAACCAAATCAAAAAATGGATTCCCTGACTGGCATCCTAAACAATCAAACAGGCACCTACTTTTCATTAGCAACAATTCCTGACAGAGTTTAATTGACCAGGGCTAGCAGACAAGTAGGGAAATTTAATCCAGGCAGCTAATAAGAATTCTTTCCTCTAGTCTCCGGGATGAAGCACTTCTGTTTATTTCATGCTTAGACTGTGCTACTGAACTCTCTTCCCAGACCATGGTTTTTGGGTGAAAGTACCTCAAGCACATATGGGTTTTATGACCTCCTTTAGTGAACGTTCTCCTGCAAGCACCGCTGTCTGATGCTATAATATTTGATTTAAATGGTTCAGTGACTTGACCCAAGCATGTAACCCACTTTTTTTTATGCTTAGTTCATCAGCCAAGCTTGATTGTGTTTAGTAGCTGTGTGTTAAACTCCCATAAAGGATTTTCTCTCCATTGAACTCAGCTGCCATTAGTCACCCATTTTAAATATCAATTTATCGTGAACAACACTAAGTAAAAAATATATACACATAGTAGTTACCGATTTCCTTTCTTGTTTCAGCTCCTGCACATAGCGTGCTAACTCTGCAGTGATCTGACAGGTCATGTTTTCGGAAATGACCTCATGCTGTCCAGCATAGTCATTCATTTCATTTAAAGTGGCTAAGAAGGCTTTACATGATGTGTACCTGCAAAGGACAAAAACATACAGTGTTTTTATTCTCTCAGTTTCCAAGTTTGCATTTTTCCCCTGCTAACATTTACTATTGCTAGATGAGGTAGGATGTTCATTAGGAAAAGTTTGTTGGAAGGAAGGAGTCCATTGTATGGGTGCCCAAAGCAATAAACTGGAAATTCTCTGAGAAACTGAACTGACTGTAAGTACAGTTAGGCACTGGGGTTTCACAAACCCCATATATTTAAGTGCCCTGTGTTTCATTAGTATAGCACTTAGGCTTTATGGGCACCTATACATGTGCAGCAAGGCTGCTCCAACACGTTGTAATTACAGTGCATCAGAGCCGCCTTAATTAATCGAGTCTGTTGGTGCGTGATAATTACCAGCTCCAGCAGACTCCAGCATTTTGTGCATCAGTGTCCCTGCACTGAAAAATGGCAGCAGGGGTGCTTTAAACTAAAGCTTGTTCAATAAACTTTAGTTAAAGCGCCCCTGTCATTTCTGAAGTGTAACACTGATACACATGACCCTCTTGGAACGTCTCTAATTGAACCACCCCCCCACCCCACCCCCACCTCCTGGAGCACGTGTATAAAGGCCCTTCCCAGGCTAAAACTGGATCAGAATTTTTTGTCAGCTTCACTTGCCATTTTGAACCCAATCCTGCAATTCAACACACTAAGAATGCCTAAATGCTCAGCATTTGGATAACATGACATATACAATATATACAGACCAATCACTTACAGCAGGGAATTCTTTGTTATTTGATTCGCACTCAAAAATAACTCCTCTATAGTGCCTCTAAAGAGAAGCAATGTGTTCTCTTTTAGCAAGGGAACAGTCCCCCACATTTCATGAGGCTTTCCTCCATATCCTGTTAGCATCTTCTAGCACCATTATAAGGTTTCCTTTTCATGAGTGAAAGCATTAGTAATACTATGTTCCAGATACTATCAACAAAGGGAAAGCAAGCTGCCCTGCAGATGATTCATTTCAGGAAGGCAGAGTATGCTGCTGGCATGCACCTACCTCACTGAACCCATACAGCTGCACTTAAATACCCCAAAACAGCTTGATGTGCTATCTAATCAAAGGAAGAGCAGTTAAAAAGAGATACACTTTTATACTACAATTCCTACTAATGTTAGATTGCAATAACTTCAGTGCTACACGCCCTTACATTAAAAGCAGCACTTAAAGGGGAAACGAGGCAATGGAAAGGAACAGGGAAAAAATGAAAAAGGTAGGAAGGAGATGTGGAGACAAGATGAAGAAAGGCACATATGTGTATTTGCATGTGCATGTGTTAGTAGGAGAGTGGGTGGGTATGTGTGTGCCAGTGCATATAATAGGAGAGTGGGAGAAAAGGAGGGAACAACAGCAGAGGGGCACAAATGTAATTGTGAGGGACATTAGGGAGCAAAAGGATACAAGTGAATAACACAAGAAAATAAATCAAATTATATCCCAGAAGAAACAGCCACATTTGTCAGTCACTATCAAGCAGAACTGCATCCAGAACGTATAACTCCAGAAGCAATAAGGGAGACTCAAAGTTACTGACCTTATGTTAGAAAATTAAATTTAAAAATGTACAGATCTATATAGATATATCTACACACATATATATAGACATTCTGCTGGGGTTCTGGGTGACATGACAAACTATCTGACCTTTATTCAGAATTAATATGGAATACATTAAATTGAATCAGGCCTACAAGAAAACAGATCCACCTCCCTCACTGCTTCATAAACACTGTCTGGATCCTGGAATTTGGCTGGGATTTCAAAGAAAATGAAAGGAAGCAGGCATCCAGTACCTACAACATCGAATAGAAGCGGAGTGACAGATTTAAATCCCTTTGAAAAGCTGAACCTTAATATTTAGCTATATGCAACATGCAAGTCTTCTCTGTTGTCAGGGCTTCTACATCACTTGCTGCTTCACACATACACAGTCCTCATTGAGAATATTAGCATATTCCTCTCTTCCCCTCCACCTGGACAAATCCCCACCTACAGGTTGATAATGTACGTACTTGTATTCTTCCTCTTCTTTGGAGTTCTTTTTGGGTTGATATTTCTTAGAAAGATTCCTAAAAATTAAAAATGAAGCAAGTAAACAATTACCATTGGATAGTCTCCACATGCCCCCCAGTCCCCAGGCTCAGAGACTGGATACATTATTGTTGTTGATGATCTATACCTTGTACTGCCTTGCACTCCAAAGCCAGGCCCCCACCATGCACTGCAGTCTACAAACAAGGCAGTCTGTGCCCCTGAACAGTTTATCATTTAAGACTATACCCAACAGGTGGCTTCAATTCTACACACTCTTACTGGCTATCAAAATTATCTGCTATCTTCTCAAACCTTGCTATGCTATTTAACTGCTTGTGTTTGCAACAGAGAAACCAAAGGTAATTTAGAACATGTCTGACTGCTACTACTGCAGCTCTGACTTTGAAAGCAGGAACTACTAACCCCTCGCTACTGGCAAATTTAGGATTTAATGAACATGCACTGTATGCCAAACACTCAGTGCAGCTTGTCAGTGCCTATCCCTTGGATCTGTGATCCTCTTCTCCATCTAGCAAGGATATCTGTCCCCTCTCACTGTAGGGCATGGCTCACAGAGCACCTTCTCAATATGCACACTGAATAGCTGAAGTGACTTTACACAATATTTCTAAGGGCCCCAATGCTGAATTGTAGGCAAAGTATATTCTCAAAATTTAGTTTATGCAGGAACCATTCATGTAGCAATTATTCCAAGGTGAGCAGCCTTGGTTCCTGCAATAAACAACTCTCCATTTTGCACTCTCCGTGGTACTCATTTCCTTGCTTATTAATTTTCTCATTCCCCATTTCCCCTTTTGCAAAGGCAGCTTTCTTATTTCAGCAAATTTCATTATTTTCATTCAACCTGAATGAATGAAAATGTACATCTCCATGTTTTCTTTTCTTGACACTGATTTAAGGGCAGAGTTGAGCTGTAACCAAGGAAACTTCTCAGAATCTGTTCAACTTCTATAAACTTATAAAAGGAAAAACCCCTAAGCCAGGGAGAAAAGTGCAGAATAAATTTTCACCATCAGTATGCAAAGGTCGCTTGATGAAGGACACTGGTTTCAGTATTGTACTTTATGATGAGACATCTTTATCCTTCATGGAAAATTGCCTTCAATTCCAGCACAATGGACCAAATTCTGATCCATGGTAGGCCATCAGCGTTAATCAGAAACCTCCAGTAACTTAAATAGTTAGCCCTTAAAAAGTGATTGCCCGATATGGCCCTGATTTCAGTTGGCTTGCAATGCTAAAGCCAAGAATATTTGCCTCTATTATTCGTCCTGCAGCTTTTATACACACAAAGTTTACAGTAGAAGGTCAGCGAGGCAAATTCTGCCCTCACTCATCTCTCTCAACCCATTAAAGCCAATGGGGTTACTAAGTATCAATGCTGATGCAATTATGAGCAGAGTTTGGCAAACTGAATGTGTGCATCTTCAAAGACAGAAGTACTGAGCTAAACACTCATTTTCACCTACATCCCCCATTAACCACAATTCTTCGCCCTTCCTCTTCATCTGGAAGAAATCACATCAGCAGCTGCCTCTCTACAGCTGATTTCAAAGGTCTGCTGCTTGGATGGACAGCAAATCCAAGCCTGCTTATCCCCTGGGGAGCTAGCACATCATATTCAAGACATTCCACCTGACTGTTTTGATAATGCTGTTAAGGCCAAAAATGCAAGGGTATCTTAGTGTAGTGTTGCCCCTGGGCTTATCTGCCCTGCTGAGAAGCAGTGTTTATTTGCCCAAATGCAATCCCTTCCTAACACAGCTGTGTTCCTGCTTCCAGTTTCAAAACTAGCTCATAGGATCTGTGTCGGGCTGCTCTGATCAGAAGCTTTGGGAGTACAGCTATACAAAAAAAAGGCTCCCAGTGAAGTTACCAGGAGTTTCAGGAGATCCTCAGGAAATATCCTGGTTCTGTATTACTCATTGCTCTTTCTAAACCAGTCTCACTCATGAAGTTGCCCTGCCAAATTTTCCTCTCTAAGGCACCACATCCAAATGACACACACAGCTTACACCTTGTTGCTGGCAGAAAGACAACCAAGGCACTATTTGTTCACACAGGACAATGAAATTCAAGAACGAGCAAGGTCATTTTACACTTTAATGACAATATCTATGTCTGAAGGATAAAACAAATTACAACAGGAATATCGATTACAAGACTACTGGTATATCTTATGGCAGGCCTGGTGATGAAAATTTTCCACCTTTGCAAGATTATGTTTTAATGGTTATAAATGATATGATAGTGGCACTGGCCATGCCCCTGTCCTTGGGGCTGAAGATGCTGCATTGAGCCACCTATATTTCTTCCTGAGGACTCCCAGGGCAGACATGCTGGAACAATAACTCACACACTTTCAGAGGATTCAGCCTGCTGTCTGCTTGATACTAAGCCTGCTCTCCACCTGCCGGCACAGAGGAAAAGCAAAACTATGAACCTGCTCTCCCCTTCCCTTTTGGATACCTAACAACTGAGGAGTGGCAGGAGGGAGCAAGGACTGTGCTCCCAAATGTGGTTCTGGCCAGACTTTGCACAGGGATGTATTAAGAGACAGAGCATCTTCTGGTCTTCCTTATCCCTTGCACCTCCCCACTGGAACAATCCAAAACCTGTTTCATAATTAGCATCTAGTCTATTCTGTCCTATGATTTTCCCAAACACAGGGTGCTCTGAAACAGTGAACTCCCTCTCCCCACCCCTCCCCAGGTGAGCTTGTTCATGAAAAGGTGACAGTTTAAATCAGAGCTCATCACTGCTGCAAAAATGCAGAAAGCTGGTAGGCATGTCAAAGGTGCTTTTTCTGATGCCATTGGGATCCTGTGAGAATCCCTGCCATCTTGCTCATCTTTATGGCTTCAATTCTTCCATCACAAATGAAAAAAAAATATGAAAAATGTGCACAAAAGGTTAAATGAACTAAAAGAGAGTTTTCACAAGCACAAAAATGCACTGTCTCCAAGAAAGGCCAACCCTCCCCTCCACCCCCCATTAGCTAATTAATCCTGACATCTCCAGTTATTACTGTCTTGTGGTTGTGCAGAAAACCTTAAGGCTGTGTGAAAAGCACTGAGCAGAGCATGTTTTCACATACAAAGGATTAAGAGGCATATGACAAGGATTAGCACTTGGATTAAATAAATGTGCATTGTTATTTACCGTGTACTGTATAGGCAGGGTAGTTTGAGGGCCATCCTGCAATGGAACTGTAACCACGGCTCTAATAAAATCAATGAGGATATTCTTCCTCACCTAAGGTCATGCCCCGCAAGAAGTTGAGTACTTCTGCTCTTGCTAGGGCAGGGGTGGGCAAAATGGCTGACCCAGCCAGCTGCCGGACTCAGCAGCTCCTGCCCACATGGCTGGGGCCGGTCTCCATGGAGACCCCAGCCCTACCTGGCTGTGAAAGCTCAAGGCTGGGGTTGCCATGGAGACCAGCCCCAACTGTGCCAGCAGGTCACACAGCAGGGCAGGGTAAGGGGCTGCTCCAGAGCCGCTGGGATCTTGCGATGGGGCAGCTAGCTCCAGAGCCAGGGCAGAGCCATAATCTGTAGCCTGCACACTCTGGGCAGGGGTGTGCAGGCAGGAGATCGCAGCTCTGCCTCTGCTCCAGACCAGGCTATCATCAGTGCAAGGAGCTGGGACAGATCTGCAAACTCCTGTCTGCACACCCCTGCCTGGAGCATGCAGGCTACAGATCGTTGCTCTGCCCTAGCACTGAAGCAAGGTGCCCCCATTACAAGATCCCAGCGGTTCCGGAGTAGCCCCTTGCCCTGCTCTGCTGTGTGCCCTGCCAGCACAGTTGAAGCTCATCTCCATGGCGGTCCCTGCCTTGCACTTTCATGCGCAGCTGCAGCTGGGGTCTCCATGAAGACCAACCCCAGCTACGTGCAGGGGCAGCTGAGAAATGGAGTCCACTACTGACTGGATCTGGCCAGCGGGCCAGACTTTTCCTGTCCATCCCTGTGCTAGGGTCAATAACACTCCTCCTGAACTTCAAAGTTAGGTATTTATGTAAATGCTGGGCTGGACAGAGGCCAGAGTGCCCAGTACTTTTCAGAACTGAGCCCTACTACCATTTGCATCATAAAAATACACATCACTGTGAAGTGTGAAGCTTTCCTTGACTCGCTGGTTCCAAGCAGTGATGAAACATGCAACCAGGTAATAGATATTAAGACTGGTGAAAGCTGATAGGTCTCCGTTTAGTATGAACTTTAGATGTGCTCCTCTGCGGACCTGTGCAACTGATGGTCTAGTTTTATCGCTCATCATCTTGCATCTCTTCATCCTGCCTGTTTCTCTGCCTCTTCGGCTACTGCTTCCTTAACTCTCCCATTTCCATTTATTTCATGGTTTCCCAACTCATGATCTATCAGCCATCTATTGCTTTTCATTCTCAAATTATAGCATCTTAGATGCTCTTTCAAATCTGTTTCTCTCAGGGGTATCTATCCATTTTGTATTCAACTAAGCTCATCTCTTTGGCACTGGGACACCTTGGCTATTTCATGCTCCAAGCCTGGTGCTTTCTTAAATAAAATCAGGCTGCAGAGGTATGAATTCCCTGATCAAACCACTCAACCTATCAGGGCCCAAATGTAGGTAAAAACACAATACAGAATGAAACCTGATGTTGGATCATTTCTTTTTCACATATTTTTTCCTACAGTCTTGGTTTAACAAATTTAAGGTAGAAATAACTTATAGTAACAAGAGAAGCATTAGAGGGAATTTGACAGGCAAGAATATGAGTCTAAAAATCAGGGAGGATTATATGGAAAATACCAGAGTGTCTCTAAGCCATGCATCACTTAAGCAAGGCAAACAGTGCACAGACCTTGTCCTGCTACTCTGCACATGAGCATATTTCACAGCGTATAATCAGACACAACTGAAGTAGCCTACAAGGCACTTCAAGATGCTGACCTCATTTGACAAACAAGAGACACATCTGAAGAATTATAAATAGGAAGTAAAGAAAAATATATCTGAACAACAGTTAACTACATTCATACGGGTGATCAGTTTGAGGCTTGGAGAATAGCTTCAGGTGGTAAAAACAGCGTTGAGTGTTACGAATAAAGAAGTCCTGAGGCATGACAGGAAATGCAGCTATCGCCCATGAAACTGAAGCAGTTGGGCATTTTTTTTCTCACATTTGCAAAATGGAAACCCACTGGTCGGAATCCACCTCCAGATTCTCTCTGTTAGCATGCAACTAGCTATAAGAAAGGACACGTAGTGATATCCCGCTGCCCTTTCACGTTAAATGGATGCGGTACAAATGAGAAAGGTTTCTCACAAACTTCTGGTTTACGAAAAGCAGATGCAGCCTGAGGAGAGGTGAGAACAGCCAGAGCTGTATTATCTCAGCTTTTGACAGACTAGTTTCATTATTTTTTCTTTTGTACCTAGCTAGCTTCTAATATGCCTCCCAGAACCAGGGTATCTGAATTTCCCCCAGCAGTTACTGCATTTCCCCTTACAATGCCCCAGGGAAATGCAGCGAGTACTATCCCCATTTTATAAATGAGGAACAGAAAAACAAGAGTAATTAAGTGCTTTGCTTAAGGTCTGGCTGGAAAGTAATGGTAGAGTTAAAAATTGAACTCAGATTCCCTGAACCCCCCAGAGTGTATCTACAATCTTTAAACACTTATTATTCCTTTTCCTTAAATATTATCTTCAGATTAAACCTTCACCCTAAGGAATTCAATTGACGATTGATTTCAATGGGTACCTATACACGTGACATACCTCTGCTCTGAAACGTGCTAACTGGCACACATCGGAGCAGACTTGATTAATCAAGTCTGCCGCAAGTCTGCTGAAGCGTGCGAATAGTGTATTCCAGCAGCCTCCGCGTCACATATATTCAGCGTCTCTGTTTCAAAATGGTGGCGAGAGCACTTTAACTAAAGCTCATTGAACAAGTTTTAGTTAAAGCACCCCCGCCGCCATTTTGAAGCATGGGATGCTGAATACACGTGACACTGCGGGCTCTTTAATTAAAGTGGCTTTTCATTTTCCAACTCACTGCCTGTTTGATCAAGTCTCTCAACTCCTCAGGATCTTGATAGTTCATCTCTGCATACCTAATCCTTTATTTCTTGCTTATCTATATAACAGAACCCAATAGGGAATCTCAAAAGGGAGAAAACATCCTTCTCCAAAAGCAGAAATACAAGATAGTCACAAACACAGAGCTTTACCAAGATGTCAGTTCGCTGTACAGTGACAGGTCCTCCTATATGTCACATGCAAATAGTCAGCAAAAACACCACAACCCCCGCAAGCCCTTACCATGTTTGGAGGTGTAGAAAGGGGCCAAAACCAGAATCTCAACATATATCCCATTGAATTTTGGAGGGTGGGGAAGAGTTTGAATCTGAACCTCCCAGTTTTAGTATGGACTTTAAACAGCCAGCCTTACTTTCTGGTTCCAGCTCATGTGTAGCTGCATATTTAATGACAAGGGCAGTCTCTCATAAGATTCTGATCAAGAAAGTGGGAACATCTCACAAGAATTTCCAAAAGTTCCACGTTCAGGGTAAGCTTATACCTCTGACCTTTTAAGATGAAAAGCCATGAGAAGAACTAGCAAGGTTTTAAAGCTCTCAAACTCGAATAGTAGCCTCGGTTCAAGTCTCAGTGATTAACTTTGAAACTCTGAGCATGGATCATTGTTGTGGTCTGTGTTTGTACAGCACCTAGCATACCAGAGAGCCAGTCTCTTAAGGGGAATCCTAGGCACAACAGTAATACAAACTAATATGATAGCAAAAAGGCTCAACTCCCAAAGCTTGCACACCCTTTCCTTCACCCATTTTTACTTTCAGTTAACGTCTCATCAAAATCCTTGAAACGTGGACCACAAGTGATGAGTAAACAAGGGATACTACTTTGTCACCAAGGCAGCACATGATTATTACAAAGCACACAGCCTAATGTTTTGCAAACAGCGGTAATAAAAGAACAGTGTCTTAAATTAACCTAGGCTTTCTATGGTTAAAGTGGCTCAAAGGTTTTGCCTTCAAAACTGGATTTTTATAAACCTAACAAATTAGCACCTAAGGAAGAGGGGCAAACTAGATCTGTATAAAGAAGTTAAACAGATACCATTCAAAACCATTCATTAGTCTGGCTAACTGCCCCCACCATATTACTCAAATCCTTCTAAAATGAAAATGTCCACTTACCTAAGTTGCTTTGCATAGCTGATTTCAATCTCCGTTCTTTCTTTTACAAACTTGATGTATTTTTCCAGAACATCAATTCCCCATTGTGTGTGTTTTTCTAAGTTGTCAAACTGATCCTGCAGTGAATCAAATAGATAGTTTAGTCTCACTGAGGTCGGAGATAACTTAAAACAACAGTGCTCAAAAGGATGCATTACTGCAAAGAAAGTATTGCTAATGTTTTCCATGAGTGCACTTATGCATATTTTTTTGCAGCCAGGTTTTTATCAACCTAACCAAGTCTTGTTCAGTGCAGGGCCAGGACTGTAATACTCTTAAAGTGCTGCTTTACACATTATTTTCGCACAGGCTGGGAAAGTTGCATTTGTCACGTGGAAAACAGTTTGCTAGAACAAAGAAGTGCTCAGGCAGAGGTGTACAAATATTCTACCGACAAAGCAGATGCCTTTTATAGAACATCTTTCTACAGACGAGAGTTGTCTTCCCACAGAATCTCACACTGTTTTATAAAACAGAAAACAAGCTAAACAAATGCTAGAACAAAAAATGACTTTAGCTATGTTTATAGGAAATCTTCTTGCATATATCCATTTATATATACACATGCTCCTTTCATCTTCAAAACAGTGCTGCCCTAAAAATTGCACATGTGTTTTCAATAAACTCTTCTATATCTAAGAGCATTCCAAAAGTTAGGTTGGGCTTTCCAGATGCCAAAAGGGATTACACAATGCTGAATTCAGATTAATTACCAAAACATTACAATACAAAGTTCTTACTAGTCTCTAAAGAGCTAATGCAAAATTGTCTTAGCTTTTCAACTTCTAACTTTCAGATATGATGCTGTCACTCTATCAAATTGCATCCCACTATCTAAAAGGATACAGAAGGCTAAGCTTCCTAAATCTGGCCTTCCGAAAATGAGATTCACAGTACAGAATCGGAGACAAGCCTCTCATTTTAGAGATGCTTAGCTGTCCTAAATTAACACTGCTCCACTGAAGTTAAAGCTATACTTATTTATACCAGCTAAGGATCCAATCCTGAGCAACTTCTGATTTACAAAAACAGCACTGAACATCAGGAAAACATAGCACAAAAATAACCCATTTCCTTCGATTCACAGAATAGGAAAACTGACAGAACTACCACGAAGTCTACAGCATGCCTATGTTGCTTCTAAGAAAACTGCACTTAGTGCAGTGCAATATATGTGATAAAAGTGTAAATTAAGGTGGCTTAAGTAGAGAGCTCTCTCATGTACAGTAAGTGCAGTCTTGCAAGCAGAAGCTGCTGTGCTACTTGAAAACCTCAGGGCTCCATTTTTGGTTAGACTTTGTGATGGGGAGAAAGTGGAGTCAGATTAAAGAAGGGCAGCTAACAGAATTCTATGAACAAGCAAGTTAATATGACGGGCAGGACCCATCTAATGTAATGGCTATAACACTTAGGGCTTGTCTACACACAGACTGCACTCAAATTTCACTTAATGAATTTAAACTCCAAGCTGAAGTACTACAGCTTTTGTTACTGTAGTTTAAACCACATTTTTGACAGTCCAACTGATGCCAGTTAAGGTTAGCAGTAAGTTGGGGAAGCAGCCAAGTGTTTCTAGAACCTATGGAGCCAGAGAATTAATAAATATGTAAAAAGTCAATTAGGAACAGGTTTAAACCAACCTAAATAAAAACTTACACTAACTAAAATACACTGTTATGAAACAAAAATGTGGGCATTCACCAAAAAAAGTAGGAGTTTTAATTGAAAAGCTGCAAGTCCCAATCTAATCCAAGTCCTTGACAGCTGCAGAGAATACAATGATTACATAGGTGGAAGCCCAAGACTCTCCTCTTTCCTCAGAGGCAATTCAAGCCAGAAAGAGAAATGACGGAGTCCCCGGGGTGTAGATCTAGCACGAATGGCCGCCTTAGACTCGGCGTTTCAACCATCTGCCCCCGACTGAAGTCAACACGACTGCCCAGATGTAACAGAAAGCAGAACATAGCCCACTGTTGGACTTTTACACACTTTGCCAAACACTCCTACGACCTACCCCTCCTATACTGCTCTGAGCAAAATCATCTCCATACCACCTTTGCATCTGATTAACACATCAAAACACCCAGTTTTCAAAAGACAGTTTAGACAAGAATACCAAGAACCTGATAATGGCCCCTCGTGGGTAAATCTGTCTGCTCCACTATTCCACAGTTCAGTCTGCTCAGCTGTGTTCGCTGCTTGACCCGGTTTAATTTTGGCAAAGAAAACTCCATAGGTGTGGAGTGCAGAAGCTAAAATACTGTACTGGAAGTAAGAGATAATGCAGGTGTTGGGAGGATGCTAATTTTATCAACCAAAAGCCCACAGAAGAGAAGTAAGTGGTTTGAACTATGACCAGAACAACTGTGAGCACTGAGTTCCCCCAACAGAAACAAAGACAAGATGAACTCAGGCTGCTTCCTGAAGCCTTCATATGCAGATAAGAGCTGCTGATCCTTAAATGTCACTTGAAAGGCTGAGGGGGGATCTAGTGGCTCTTTACAAACTAGTCAGGGGGGACCAGCAGGCATTGGGAGAGTCCCTGTTCCCCTGAGCACTACCAGAAGCAACAAGCTGGCAGAGGGTAGATTCAGGCTAGACATCAGGAGGCACTACTTCACAGTCAGGGCGGCTAGGACCTGGAACCAACTTCCAAGGGAAGTGGTGCTGGCTCCTACCCTGGGGGTCTTTAAGAGGAGGCTGGATGAACACCTCGCCGGGGTCGTTTGACCCCAGTACTCTTTCCTGCCATGACAGGGGGTCGGACTCGATGATCTGCTCAGGTCCCTTCCAACCCTACAAACTATGAAACTATGAATATGGGCAGAGATCGGGGAAAGGGAGGTCCAACTTCAACTTGTCTAGTAAGAAGCTGTCCCAGAAGCAATCCTTTAGACGTGTACATTTTTATTTCTCTTTTTTTGTGTTTCTTCATGATGCAGGGGAAAAAAAAATCAGAGCCAGGCAAAAACAAGCCTAATTGGATCAACAGCAACAGAGAAGACTGAACTGTTCAAAGAAGAGCAGAGCAATGACAGAAAAAGCTCTAAGAAGCCCTTCATTCGGATTGTCTTGTGTCTCTAGTCAACAAGCTGAGGCTCAGAAGTGGTTATGTGTTAAGACTGGTGGGGCCTGGGTACAGAAAAGCAATTTATCAGAGCACAAGTTACAGCTTTTAAAAGCAGGCAATCCTTAAAGCTGTGTTGTATGCATTAGCTTTAAAAGACTTAGCTTGAGAAGAGGCAAGTTTCAAAAGCAGTAGTGTCATACTTCCTAAGGACAAATTCACCAATCAGAGCTGCCTCTGACAATTTAGCATTTCTGTTGTGACGTTTCGGGGGTGTGGGGGGGAAAACACACACATGCTGTTGTGTTATCACTTCTTAGACTCAGACATGGTAAAGGACAGACAGGTTCACTGTGACCATCTGCCAGACACTTCAAGACTGCTCCCTACAGGATTCTTATAGCTTTGTTCAGCCTGGTTTTAAAAACATCTGAAACAATAGAGCTTCCATCACTTTCCTGGTAGGCTATCCCACACATGCTAGAGTTTTGAGGATGGAGCCCACTGCTCCTGCCAGACATTTAATAAATTGGGAAGTCATTTTTCTAACTGGCCTCCTGACTTGCTCCATCACAATGGTACCATCACAATGGTAATGCCAGCAGTTAACTAAATATCACAGTAACACACTTAGCTTTAAGCACCCAGCCTTGTCTGTAAGGAACTCCTTGTGCACTTTGAAAAGACCCCCGAGGGAGATACTCAGAAGTAGAATGGGCAGATAGGCAGAAAGCAAATGCGAGTAGGGTGCATAGGAGTACAGAGATCTGAAGAGGGATGGCCTGCATTTGAAAGCTTGCCTATCCCAACTATCTAGTTGGTCCACTAAACAATATCACCTTAAGAAATCCTTGCCTCTCACATAAGAATACATCAGCACTGCAATCCAGGGATGAGCCTGGAGGACATGTAGAGATAGCTCAAATATCTCTACAACTAGTACAGAAGCCCTAGGGTCCTGGCCACTTCACACCTAAAGATCTTGCCTTTGGCAGTACAGTGCTACTAATACAAGAGCTAGCTGGTTTAAAGCTCTCAAGTATGTTTTACTGAGCTAGAATCACACCTCTGGATTTTAGTGTAGATATATCTCCAAATCCTCTTGATGCCTCTGAAACTCCCCCCACTATCCACTGGAAGCAGTGTCAAGAGCAAAGGAGATTCAACAAGTCTTTCACGTTCCTTGTACAAAGCAGCAAAGCTAATCAGGAAGAATGCAGGCAATATAATGCATGATAAAATCACCAAATTGGAGGACCACATTAAAAAATATTCACTTCCCACTCACGTCTTTGCAATGACAATAACACATCCATGTTTTCTATAGGTTAGTTCTAGTGTCCTTCCTCTGTATCAGGAGCTACTTTGCATGTAGATACAATTTTTAGCTGGACATTGGATTAGGGAGGAAACCTGTATTGAAGGCTCTCCCAGGAGAGCCCGCATCCATTTTTGTACATTTACCCCGTCTCCGATTTGTCATATCGCAACTTTCCCCTCATACAAATCTTGCCTTCAGACTCATTTCTTCTTTACTAGCTGACTTACTGTGAGCCACACCACCTTATTAAAAGAAGAGCTTTTGATTAATAATGAGGACATCTACATATCTTTGCTTGTACTACACTAGCACTTGGTCTTGCTCATTCCACTCCACCCTACTGCCAGTGAGCCCCATTCACTGCATCACACTTGACATTAGACCCTGATCCCCAAAGACAGACCCTTGCTCTCACATATAGACCCTAGTGCAGTAGCTCTCAATCTTTTTAGACTCAAGGCACCCTTCAATAGCCGCCCCCCACCCCAGGAAAATGCCAGCTCTGAGTTTTCACTCATTTTTTAACTAGAGAAAAATACAGCAGTTCCTCTGTGGCAAAGATCTCAAGGTGCAGACAGAAGTGCAGCTTCCCATTGTAACTCATATGCTTCAGAGGAAGTGCCATGAGTTACAGTGATCCTCCAGACCCAACAGACATTTGCACCCAGGTGATTGGGGGAGGGGGGGCA